AAAACTAAAAGCCCATGGACGAAAAACATACCATGTAATCACACAGGAACAGTAACCAAAAAGAGAAAAAAAAGAAGAAAAAACAAGCAAATCAGCAATATCTGGGGATAGGGCACTAAGAAAGAAAACAAAAAAGTAGGGAAGGAGAATAATAAATGAAGAAAAATATAGGAAGAATGCAAAAAGAAAACAAGGAATGGGGTTAGTCACGAGAAAAAAGGGGGAAAAGGAAAACATAAAAAAACCTTAAATTGTGGGGTGGAGATTTCAACCAGGTACCGGGAAATGAAAAAAAATGCTGAAAACTAGGACCTGGTAGGGAAAGATTAAGAATAATAATAAAAAGGAGAAAATTATTAATAATGTTAGTTGGTTTAAAACAGACAAATACAAGCAAACTAATCACTGGGAAAAAGAAAGCAAAAAAGAAAAAATCAGTGGAGGACGGGGTAGGGAACCCAGGCTCCATCTGAGCACACAGACTGTGATGGAGTTCCTTTGGCCCCAGAAGGTAGGTGGCAGTGGGGATGGCCACACCTCTGTTCACCAAGTGGGTATAGGGTGTAGTAATAAGAATGTCGTACCTTTTCAGTTTTGCAGGCCCCGAGTGTCCTTGGGGTTGCTGGAAAGCAGAACATGTTCTTAAGCCCCAGAAATCTGCGATAGTGCTGTCTCTTTAAATATCCAAAATAGTCAAGCCGCTTTTTAAACCTACAAAATGGCGGTAACCTCCGGCCCGGCAAAAGTCCACAGCTCAGCCCACCTTTCTCTTCACCTTCTCTGCTTGTTCCCCAGCCACCATGCACAGTCCATGCAGTCCCTGGCTAGCAGGGTGATTTTTAGGTTAATTCTTAGGTCCTACCCCCACTTGGGAATCTCCAAGCTGTCTGTGCCATCAGGGTCGCTCGGGATTGGTTCCAGACTGCAGCTCCTCCGTATGTCTCCTTTTTTGGTATTTTCATGTAAATTCTTCTGCTAGTTGGGGTTTAGTCCACTTCTGTATTGAAGGACATTTTTGCTAATAGCTGGGCATGCCTAAAGATTCTAGAAGTTATATAGCAAAATGAACCTACTTATATATTTCCTGGGAAGCATTAGTTTACCTTGTTCAGTTAAAGTACGATTGATAAACAGATCTTAAAGTGTAATTAAAAAGCAATATTGGTAATTTTATTTCTTCTTTGTTATTGCTTACAGAGTGCCAAAGAGGAATTAATCAGGTGGGAAGAAGGTAAAAAATGGCAAACCAAAGTAGAAGGAATTCGAAATAAATTAAAAGAGAAAGAGGGGGAAGTCTATACTCTAACAAAACAGTTGAATACATTGAAGGATCTTTTTGCTAAGTGAGTTTGAACTTAATTTGAAAACTAATTATGTATAAAGTCTTCTTTTATTTACCTTGAAATTATGTAGTTTTATCATACTTCATAAGAAAGTTTTTAATTTTAATTTAATGCCTAGATTCCTAAATTTTATGTTATTTAAAATGTGTTTTAAATATATTTGAACAGTTTTATTTGGAGGCTCTCATGGTTTTGAAATAACTCATAGAAGAAACACAGTGATCTAACTGTCATATATTGGTCTGGTAATGAGTAAACTACAGAGATTAATGGATTAAACAATGCAAACAGTGTATTGTCTGTTTCTCATGATTCCATATTAAATCCTACAGAGCTGATAAAGAGAAACTTACTTTGCAGAGGAAACTGAAAACAACTGGCATGACTGTTGATCAAGTTATGGGAGTACGAGCTTTGGAGTCAGAAAAAGAGCTAGAAGAGTTAAAAAAGAGAAATCTTGACTTAGAAAGTGACATAACTTATATGAGGTAAACTATAACATGGAATGTGCTATCCATTTATAGTGAAGAAAAAATTGGTTAACTGTAACAATAGCTCATATTAATATTTTTTAAATGAGTTTAATGTACTTTGCTTATTAATATCTGTAAAATATGGTTCCCTGAATTGAATATTGTGCTCTAGATCTGATGTGATTGGAATATAGTATACAGTTAGAATAATTTCCCACCCTTAGTCTAGGAGCTGTGGTGGCATTGTACCTATGGCATTTGACTGCTAGTAAATATGATTTTATTAGTACAGTATACTTTTTGGTTTTTTTTGGCTGCCTCTCGTAGAGCTTCTAGCAATTAAAATCTCTAGATCTCTAGCTAGCGATTCAGCTAGATTTTCACAGCCATTCTTTCTGTATTTGGGTCTTTAGTGATGTACTCAGGGCTTCATTACATTTTCGATAATCTTTTTATTAAATTATATTATTATTCAGAAAAGTACACAAATTCTAAGTATAACTAGATTATTTAACATAAAATGAGCTATCTGTGACCACCTCAAATAAAAAAATAAAACATTTTAAGCACCCCAGAGTACCTACCCCATAGTCCCAGTCATTATTCTTACTATTCCCAGTCCTTTCTCCGAAGTTAACCACTATCCAAACTTCCAACACCACGGGTTAGTTTTGCCAGTTGTTTAGTTTTATGAAATCAATATTATTCAGTATGTTTTTATGGCTTTTTTTAAATTCAGCATTTTAATTGTGAGATTTATCTATGTTGTGCTTATTTATTCTTGTTGTATAGTGTATAGTATGAATATGCCATAATTTATCCATTCTACTGTTGATGAACATTGACTTGTTTCAGGTGTTTGGCTATTCTGAGTAATGCTGCTATGAACAATCTTCCTTAGGCCTTTATTTGCACTTTATTAGGCATTTATGTGCACATTTCTTTTGAGTGAATACCAAGAGGTAGATGTTCTGGTTACCTAGTGCCGCTCTGACAAGAAATATACCACAAATGGGATGACCTTAAAAAGCAGGAGTTTATTCATACAATTTGGAGGCTTTAAGTCCAAGTGCAAAGTGCCAAGCTCTAGGGGCTGGGTGGAAAGCCCCTCAACCTTGGGGTCCAGGTCTACCTCCTGCTCCTGGCCCACTGGAGCTATATGTGTTTCTTCATTCAGACAGCTGCTGGCTGCTGAGGCTGAGAAGCCCCAAGGTTGACAAGTGAAAAGGCATAGTCCCGATGTTACGAAACCACACGGCAGGTCATTAACTTAAGTCCATTACAAGTCCCAGGGTTGGCAAAGCATGGCAGGCTGCTGAGCAATGACATGGCTACATGCAGGGTCCAAGCGTGCCATAGGCTAGAGACCATTCTCAAAGCTTCTCCTTATATACAGAAAGCAGACCACATACCCAAAGGCAGCTACTCAGCGCTCATAGTAGATTCCACCATGGAGTTGATTACCAGTCTCATCGTGGGGAATACTACATCCAGCTGCCCAGCCACTCAACCAGGCCTAGCCAAGTTGACACACAAACATAACCACCACAGTAGAATTTCTAGGTTATATGATTTATGATTTTGGTAGGTAATGCCAAGCTGTTTTCTAATATTTACCCTCCTGCCATCAATGAATGAAAACTGTGGTTGCTCTACAGCATTGTGAACATCTAGTATTAAGTTTTAGTCATTCTGATGAATATACAGAATTATCTCATTGTGGTTTTACTTTGTATTTCACTGATAATTAATGATATTGAGCCACTTAATATATATTTCTTGGGCATTTGAGTATTTTATTTTGTAAAATACTTTTTCACGTGCCTTAACCTATTGTTTCTGCCTGTTGGATTATCTTTTTCTTGTTATTGAAGGAATATTTTACATAATCTGGATATGAGCTTTCTGTGTACATTAACTCTAAATATCTTCTTCTGCTTTGTGGTTTGTCTTTTTCACTCTTTAATAGTGTATTTTCTTGTCTAGATGATCTTTTTTTTGATGCAGTACAGTTGCAAAAAGGACAAGGAGGCCACATGTTCTGACCTCGTAGAACCCCACAAGAAGAAGGCAGAATCACCATCAATAGCCCAAGGCCTATTACTGCAAGGCCGGACATGCTGCCTCCCTCCAGCTCTTTCTCCAACCGTTCCTCCCAAAGCATCCACCACCTCTCTCCTGGGTTCGATAATTCGCTGCAGTGGCCACACAGAGCTCACAGATTATGAGGTTTATTAGGGAAGCACCACAGGCTATAATTTAAGTTCAGGGAAAATGCTCAGTCTCTCTCCCAGCCCACCATCCCTCAGCCAACAGTCTCTCACAGTCTCTTTCCCAGCAGTGCTGGTCCCTCGGTGTCTCACTCAGCAATACATATCTCTTGTGTCTCTTTCCCAGCAACACGTGTCTCAGGAGTGTGTGTCTCTTTCAGCAGCACATCTTCCTCAACCAGCAGTCAGAGAGAGTTCTGCCTCTTGGAGGCCTGCTTTTGAGCTTGGCGGAGTGGCCAAACCAACCAGTTATAACAACAGAATTCTAAGCACCTGAGAGTGAGCCTCCCATAACATTGCAATGAGCCACGCCCAACAGAAATAACCCAGGTTGATAATATTTACAATCAGGAGCTCCTCAGTTGCTCATTCCACCACTGAGTTTACAATGACTTGTGGGTAGAAAAGCCATACTAAGTAATTTACTACACTGCAACAGTTTATCAGTGTTTTCTGGATATTATTTTATATATCTAGCTTAATAAATACTGTTTTTTACTTTCACATTTAGGTAAGTAGTCAACCTGAACTGTTGTTTTATTTGGTTTTTAATGGTAGGAAGTAGGGTATAATTTCAGATCCCATCACCTCAGTGTGAAAATTCAGAGGATCTAAATTCAGTTCAATTAGGGAAAAGATAAGATCATTTTTCCCTGATGTTGCATAATGCTACCACCATATAAATTAAATATCCATATTTGTATGTGTCTGTTTTCTAGGCTCTGTTCTGTTCTACTGTTCACATGTCTATCATGGTGCCAGTGCCACACTGTCTTAATTAATATAACTTTGAGTGTTCCTATCCAGGAGGGCCACCACGTATCTGTCAGTTTGTCTTACTGTGGTGCCTTGTATGTTGCAGTGATACTGAAAGCTATACCACTGGCATTTCAAATACCAGCAGGGTCACTCATGGTTGACAGGCTTCAGTGGAGCTTCTTGACTAAGGCAGACTAGGGAGATTTGGCTGTCTACTTCTGAAAAAATTTATCAATGAAAACCTTCTGAAGACCAATGAAACATTTTCTGATATAGTGTCAGGAGCTGTGCCCCTCAGGTTGAAAGGAACTCAGAATACAACTGGGGAAGAGGTACTTCCATCAGGTAGAGTTGACCTTAATGACATGGATGGACCAAAGTTTTTAGGACTTTCATTGGCTGATGTGGCATGACTCAAACTGAGAAGAAACAGCAGCTATTACCCATTAATAATCAGAACATGGAATGTAAGAAGATTGAATCTAGGAAAATTGGAAGTTGCAAGAAATGAAATGAAATGCATAAAGATCAATATTCCAGGCATTAGTGAGCTGAAATGGACTGGTACTTATCATTTTGAATCAGGCAGTCATACGGTTTGTTATGCTAGGCAGGAATGACACATTGAAGAGGAATGGTGTCTGTGATAGTTCAGTTTGCGTGTCAGCTTGGCTGGGCCTGATTGAGTAGCTGGGCAGCTGGTGGTAGTTGTTCCCCAATGGTGAGACTGGCGGTTGGCTTCATGGTGGGATCTCCCACAAGCAGCTGGGTGGCTGCCTTTGGGATGTGGTATGCTTCCTATATGTGGGGAGAAGCCTTGGGAATGGTCTTTAGCTTATGGCATGCTTAGACCCTGCATGCAGCTGTGTCATTGTTCAGCAGCCTGCTGTGCTCTGCCAACCTTGGGACTTACAATGGAATTTAATTAATGGCCTGCAGTGTGGTTTGGTAACATTGGGACTGGTGCCTTTTTACTTATCACCCTTGGGCTTGGCAGCCTCAGCAGCCAGCAGCTGTGTGAGTGAAGAAACACCTCTAGCTCCAGGGGCCGGGAGCACAAGGCAGAGCTGAACCCAAAGGTTGAGGGGCTTTCACCCAGCCCCTAGAGCCTGGCACTTTGAACTTGGACTTCTGGCCTGCTGAACTGTAAGAGAATAAACTCCTGTTTGTTCAGGCCATCACGTTTGTGGTATATATATATATTCCTATCAGAGTGGCATGGTAACCAGAACAGTGTAACATTCAGTATCAAAAAAAAAACATTTCAAGATCTATCCTGAGGTATAACACTTTCAGTGATAGGATACTATCCATATGTTTATTAAGAAGACCAGTTAATATGACTATTATTCAAAATTATTCAAATTCACCAAGCACTATTGCCAAAGAAGGAATGAAAGATTTTTACCAACTTCTGCCATCTGTAATTGACCAACCATGCAATCAAGATGCATTAATAATTACTGATGACTGGAATGCAAAAGTGGGAAACAAACAAGAAGAATCAGTAATTGGAGAATATGGCTTTGGTGATAGGAACAGTGCTGGAGATCTCATGAGAGAATTTTGTAAGACCAACAACATACTCACTGCAAATACCTTTTTTTCAGCAACTAAATTGTGACTATACATCTAGACCTCCCCAGATGGGATACACAGGAACCAAATTGAGTATATTTGTGGAAGGAGGCAATGGAAAGCTCAATATTGTCAGTCAAAACAAGGCCAAGGGCCAACTATGGAACAGACAATCAATTGCTCATATGCAAATTCAGGTTGGAGCTGAAGAAAATTAAAACAAGTCCACAGAAGACAAAACAAGACCTTGAGTATCCCACCTGTATTTAGAGACCATCTCAAGAACAAGGTTGACACATTGAACACTAATTACCAAAGACCAGATGAATTCTGGGATGACATCAAGGACATCATACGTGAAGAAACCAAAAGATCATGAAAAAGACAGGAAAGAAGGAAAACACCAAA